GTTGAAACTTTCATATAATGGTTATGCAACTATGCAGAGTTGATTTTATGAAAATCTAAACACTCCGATAGTTAGGGGACTTTTTTGGAAAAAATACCAAAAAATTGAATTTTCGTCAATTTTAATATTTTCCGGGGATTTTTTGGGTGTGACATTGTTCGGAACAATAACAACAATAATAAAATGAAAAGAAGCATTTCTAATTAACCCTACAAATATTTTATTTATCGCAAAATATGTAACACATGTTACACAAAGTGTTTTTTATTGAATTTGAACGGATAAAAGTGATTATCTACAAGCTAAAAGCCAACAGGACACAAAGATCTATACATATAGAATGGGAAATTGAACAAAATATACACAATGGCTTTATAATTAATTTATTTTACATTTTACAATCACTTCGATCCGGGTAAGAGTTATCTTCCTTGAAAAAAATCGGAACTTTTTGCAGAGGGGTGACATTTACACAATGACAGTTGTCCCTGTTTACATATAACAAAAATGATGGAAATAAATCAAAAATATGATATCAAAATTATCAATTTATTGTTCTTTAATGGAACCAAATTACCCTCAGTCATGTACACTTTGGACATCATTCCACAGTCCGCTAACTCACGGTATGTTTATAATTACATGTCAGGTACATATGTGACCAGAGGCTATCGCATGGTATGCCGTTCTCACGTGCACTCACACATGCATTTTATAGGTATCTTGATATTTTACAAAACATTATTTTCACAGAGTAAGTAGACTACATTTGTAAACACGATTTAATCGACAGAGCGAAACTTCCTCAACAGCGAAAATCGTAACGACCTCGAGCTTATGAACTCGTGTTGCACATGTGAGGTCGGTACGTCCGCATTCCATGCGTTTCCTATATGACCTTCTTGAGGTCGTTTGGTCTCATGTCACTATCTTCCCGTGAGTCTGTTTATGTCTATGAATTTGAAAGCTTTATTCCTGAAATACGTGTGATTATACATTTCCCGGTAAAATCTCGATATCGGGTGTTGACATATCATCGGCACGCACGTGTACTATTGTTTACCAGGGGCCTGTTCGTGTATGCGGAGCAACCGGTTTGACCGTTTATAAATGTAACAATTTCGGGTATAAATCCTGGCGGACCTGCAAATGTATATGCAGGCCTTGCAAGGCTTTCTCACGGCTCGCCTGAAAGCAGCATCAGATTACTAGGTCCGACCTTATTTAATAAACGAACAACAGTGGTCCGATCGGTTTGACCGTTTAAACGTAAACGGCCCAGGTGTAACCATAATTTGCACAACGACATTGAATGCCCGATACGCAATACGGAAATGACGACACGGTGTACATGCACATTTCGATCAAGATAATTGAGTCCGAGCTGTACTTTTTCCGGAAGTACGTCACGAAAATGGACGCTGATGACGATGTGTGGAGCCACCTTAAAAGGCATATTGGTTAAAGAGGCAATTTTCATACAATACAACACGTTCCTTTATATCAGCATACAGTTTAACAGTATTAATGGATTCTATTAATATACAACAGATACTAACAATGCTTTCTGCCTGGCTAACCATTTCATAAAATGAACTAGAAAAATTAAAATGAATTCTGTTTTATTTCCATCTAAAAGACATTTATTCTATTTAATATTACAAATATGTGGAATATTTAATAAGCTACAAGTTTTATGGAACAGTAGTAAGTAAGTTGAATCACTTTTCTGTCTATTAAAGTTTTAGAATATTTGTGATTCTCATTAGTAAGGTAGTTTGACGGCAACAGTTCTCTATTTGTCTTAGATTTGTACTAAATATAATGTTGTTGTAAATATCACCAAACCTGTCACACTGCACATCCGTCCCCTATTTCTATATTGTCTTCTCAATATTTTCATAATAGGACGAAGAATTCACCAAACAATATCAGGTTTAACATTGGGGTAATTAATCCATATAACTTTTCTATTAGTTTCTTGACCTCTGTTAGTCTACCATTAAACATGTGTCACATGCTTCACTGATTTTCAAGGGTAACGTCAAAAGGCACGGAACATGTCCAACCAACCATGGAAAATGGCTAAACAATTCCCATTTTTAAATTATCTGTAAAATTTATTCAGGCAAAATAAATATGCATGCTCTATTTTTACTTGTCATAATGCTTTTGTATTGTCGTTATTTGTGGCGCGGGCTTTAGCTATGATTAGAGACTATGTTTAGGTAACTGTCCAAAAGCCAAAAGTCATTCGGCGAAGCAAAGTGTCGCCCAATTTGCCGTATCATTTGTCCATCTGACAAGCCCTTTATGCAGTGAGTAGTGTTGAAATGCCCGTGATATTTAAGACGACGTTCACAGTATTGATATCTGACCAACATAACAACAAGCAGGCGACACTTTAGTTTTTATACACATATTTCAAAACAATACTCTATTCTTCCTGCTCATGTCAGAAAAATATTGTCAACCTTTAAATAGTCAGACATTTTTACCTTTTATTTCAAAAGACATGTTTTAACTTATCTGAAGTATGAAATAAATGTATACCCATTTTTTTATTTTTTTTTAGAAGAAATTGTCCTAGTAAAAATGGATCACTAGAAAACTGATTACAGTGTTAACCATTTGATATCATACTTTATTAACGCATCATCTGGCAGTAACGCTGGGATTAACATTGACAGACGACTATATTTCCTGACATCATATATCACATATTCAGGAGACAAACAAAATATTATCTTTCTAGTCAGACCATTATTCAAAAATTTCCTTAAAATAATTTCTTATTGTAACTTGGATTTCTTGTTTATGATCTTAGAATATGGAACTGGTAAAGGTATGGATTTTTTTCAGTGAGACCTAAAGTCGTGATTATAGTGTTGTCTTACTGAAATGTCACCGATATCTTGAATATGTCATTCAACAACACCCCATCTACAGTAAAATCTTGTTGTACTGCCATTGTTTGTCAAGATAAACTTTGGAGTTATTATGGGGCTTAACGATATAATGAGGGAGTCATAACGTTGCTCAGAAAAAAAGGAAAGGGGATATTAAACAAGAGGCCCAAGGGCCTTAGCGGTCACCTGAGTTGTATCATAGGTACTGGTAGCTTTATTTTATTGTTCAGATGTGATGTTGAAATCAGCATGTAAACTAAGTGAAATACAATACTTGTCATGTCACCAAAAGATAAGAATTTTAAAATATTTGTAAATGTTCCCTTTGGGGCCCCACTCTAACCCCTGGGGATGGGGCAGGAATTCCAAGTTTACAATGTGATACCGTCATCCACCAATGATGATTCTGACCAAGTAAAAATAATTTCCAACAGAAAATTGTCAAAATATACCCAAAAGTGTTGTTTCCCTATATAATCTATAGTAAACTTTACCCCCTCCCCAAGGGAGAACGGATAGCTCGGGGGACCTGAAATTTACAATTTAAATAAAGCCCCTGATGATCTTCCATCCATGCAGAGAAAATGACTGTAATACCTCTGAGTGTGGAGAAGAAGATTTTTTAAATATTGGTTAATTTTCCCTTTGGGGCCCCGCCCTGGCCCCTAGGGTTGGGGTAGGAATTCCAATTTTACAATTTAAAACAATCTTCCTTCAAGGATAATTTTCACAAAGTAAGAATAATTTCCTACAGAAAATTGTCAAAATATACCCCACCGTGTTGTTTCCCTATATAATCTATAGTAAACTTCACCCCCTCCCCAAGGGAGAACGGATAGCTCAGGGGTCCTGAAATTTACAATTTAAAGAAAGCCCCTGATGATCTAACCATCCATGCAGAGAAAATGACTGTAGTACCTCTGAGTCTGGAGAAGAAGATTTTTGAAATATTGGCTAATTTTCCCTTTTGGGACTCGCCCTGGCCCCTAGGGTTGGGGAAGGAATCCCAATTTTACAATTTAAAACCATCTTCGTCCTCCAAGGATAATTCTCACCAAGCAAAAATAATTTTCAACAGAAAATTGTCAAAATATACCCAAAAGTGTTGTTTCCGAATATAAACTATAGGGTTGGGGTAGGAATCCCAATTTTACAATTTGGTAGCCTCATCTACCAAGGATGATTCTGACCAAGTTTGAAAAAATTCCATCCACTGGTTCTTGAGAAGAAGTTGATAATGTAAAAAGTTTACGCATGACGCACGACGGACGATGACGGACGGAAAGTGATTGGAATAGGTCACTTGAGCAAAGCTCAGGTGACCTAAAAATTGGTAAGCCAGGTTGCATGTTATATGAGAAGCCTTTTATGATACTGAAGTTTCCATATGTAACTTATAAATTATAACAAGAAAGGAAAAATGCAACTGCCTGACTAGAATTTGATTCCAGGGCCTTTACACTCTATATGGATACTCAAACCCTGCTCGGTGTCTTAGGCAGTATGTTTCAGTGAGGTGGCAATGTAAAGTCGGCATCAGTTTCGCGCTATCACAAGGAGACAAACACGAACATATCACAGCCTCCCGAAACACACACACATACACTACACACATGCATCTTGCAGAAAGGGGAGGCCGTCCTTAAATGACCATAGCTGTTGATAGGACGTTAAACAATACTAAACCAAACCAAACCCTGCTCAGTTCCACTATATATTCCTCCTTCCTTCGACAAGGTACTCAACCCTGAAGATGCACAAGATCCTTCTTCTTCCATTAACCAGTCCATATGATATTTGATGGCCTTGCTGCTAATCTACTTGTTGTACAATGCCTCTCAGGAGGATACTTGTCAGGTTTAAAGGTTAAAAGGTCATAACTATATGCTAGTGCAGCAGGTTACTCTTCTATCACCCTCTCCAGAGCATCCGTGAAGGATTGCAAGGATGGTGCTGTTTTTAGTGTAGTTTTGGATGGTGTTTCACAGGGCGACAGATTTCCAAAATAATGAGTTCTGAAGGTAATCAGTGGCACTGGTGGAACATAGCTCATAGAGTTAGTTGTCCTGTTGCTGCGCTGGGCAGGTGGGGTCAGGTACCACGCCTTGTTGACTGTGCATGACCATCATCCTGTGATCCTATACCACCATCCTGTGATCCTATACCATCATCCTGTGATCCTATACCACCATCCTGTGATCCTATACCACCATCCTGTGATCCTATACCACCATCCTGTGATCCTATACCACCATCCTGTGATCCTATACCACCATCCTGTGATCCTATACCACCATCCTGTGATCCTATACCACCATCCTGTGATCCTATACCACCATCCTGTGATCCTATACCACCATCCTGTGATCCTATACCACCATCCTGTGATCCTATACCACCATCCTGTGATCCTATACCACCATCCTGTGATCCTATACCACCATCCTGTGATCCTATACCACCATCCTGTGATCCTATACCACCATCCTGTGATCCTATACCACCATCCTGTGATCCTATACCACCATCCTGTGATCCTATACCACCATCCTGTGATCCTATACCACCATCCTGTGATCCTATACCACCATCCTGTGATCCTATACCACCATCCTGTGATCCTATACCACCATCCTGTGATCCTATACCACCATCCTGTGATCCTATACCACCATCCTGTGATCCTATACCACCATCCTGTGATCCTATACCACCATCCTGTGATCCTATACCACCATCCTGTGATCCTATACCACCATCCTGTGATCCTATACCACCATCCTGTGATCCTATACCACCATCCTGTGATCCTATACCACCATCCTGTGATCCTATACCACCATCCTGTGATCCTATACCACCATCCTGTGATCCTATACCACCATCCTGTGATCCTATACCACCATCCTGTGATCCTATACCACCATCCTGTGATCCTATACCACCATCCTGTGATCCTATACCATCATCCGTCAGTATACTATTTAGTTGAGTGTCAAACATAAAAGGAGAGGGAAAAGGCAACAGGCAAGACAAGAGTTTGAACCCCAAAATAATTATGACCTCTGTTCACATAAATCAGAGGTTTAATTTCAGATATTCAATGTTAATAAACACATATGCAACATCATTAGCTCCCAATTACAAGGTAACATAATGAAATAACTGAACATTTATGTTTCTAGTACAGTATATATTTTTTAAATTTCAGCATTGGACTCAACTGGACAGAAACACAGATCTGAAAATCAGATAAGTGCTTGTTATAATTTTTCAATTAAGTGTCACTGATAATTTTCAAGTCAGTACTAAATGCAGGATATATCAATTATTTAACAACCTATTTTGTATCCATACAGAATGTAACATTGTTTGTATAGAAGAAAAAGTAAAGATCTGGATGAGATAAAAGCTTGTAATAAATGAGTTATGTATAGATGATACATAGTTTTTGAGATAACTATCCCTGATAGCTGAAGGTCAGCCCCGGTACAGGTACTATAGCGAGTCCCACTACAGGTATTGTAGCATGATTGATAGGTAATTGATTGCCTTAGCATTTACACCTGTACCATAGAAAGACTGAATCTGGAGAATACCAGACTTTCATTAATCATAAAAGCACCCGGGATTTTGTTTTGCAAAAGAATACGAAATTGATGACAGAATTTTTGTTGAGTACTGGTACCAAAATAGCTGTATGGTATAACAACAGACTGGTTCTGAGCGTTAATCGTGATTAAATGTTTGACAACTAAATAAACAAACTTCTCCTACCTCCCAGGTGTAAGACTTGCTCTACCTGTTCTCAGGTGAAAAATATCTCGTTAAAGGTGTAGCTGGTCATTACTCATACCTTAGCATACATAATATCTAATCTCTAACAAATGACCTTCAAATTGTGAACATACATGATTTTTCAAAATATCAATTACGAGCAAAAGAACTCACTTTTTATCAAAATTATTTTTTCTCCATCTACAGAATTATTTACATAACAAAGTAAATGTTTATTGTCTGTAAGCACAACTACAGTTTCTAAATGAATTTTTAAAGATCATATTTAGGATATATGCTACCTTATTTTTACAATTGTACCTCCTATATAAAAGAGCTCCATACAATCAGGTATAAAACCTTAACGGTAGTTTTGACATCATGATAATTAAGTAACATTGGTGACCATTGAGTTATTATTAGATGATCATCTTTATTACAAATATCAATGGAGATCTTTGAATTCCCCATTTCTGAGTTGTTGTTTTTTTATTGTTGGATAGGGCATGCCAATACTTTCTATTTTTGTAGTTTCACAGCACACAGGAAAATAAGAGACTGGCATGGATACTGACGTGGCTTGTATACAGCACACAGTCTAGTGGAGCAATTCATATTTACATTAAAATATTTTAATTTGTTTGGCCATAACACAATTATCAGTCATTCAGATATGATGTCCTAGACAGTAATAAACTACTGGGCTGTAAATCTGATCTCTGCCTGTGACCTTAACATTGTGATGAGGCTCATACAAGCGGTACATGACACACTGTCTTTAAGCATTATTGCTAAAAAGATCAACTTCTACAAACCAGAATGCGAAACCTCTTTTTAGCAATTAATTTCAATGGAAACAAGTGAAATTATATTTGTCGTAATATTTCTGTAACATTTTTTACATTAACTTTTGATTCCATTACAATCTTTTATCAAGACAGGTGGCAGTTACAGTGCTAATGATGTGCACACCAAGCACTTGTACCTGTCTCCAGTTAAACAGGTGGGAGATAGTTAACCCTGTAACTCTACAGTATATCCCTCCTACAAAAGATTTACTCAGATCATTATAACTGATATACAATATTCTGTATACCAATCTCGGTGAAGGTATTTGACCTTAGACTTACAATATCTGTTGCATTCATGGCTCAGCTGGAAGGCAAACTATCACGGCAGAGCTTCAATACAGTTCTTAATTAAGATTGATAAACTGATATTTTTTCAGGTATAAATTTACACAAATTGAAATTTTGTATTTAAACTTTCAAACCCCTTATTTTACAATAGATCCTTCCATTCCTTGATCTAGATAAGTTCAAAGCTATATGAGGGGGTTATAATAATTGATTTCAAAAGGGGCGTAGGCCTTTTTCACTCTTACTCCTAATCAATCTCAAGTTGTCTTCAGCCGTTAGACTACAAAACAGTTCTCATTCAAAATTCTGACACACTATCATGATAACTTTGTCTTTGAAAATGTGATCTTACTGACAAACTCAATTTAAATTCATATTTTTTTTCTTTTTCTTAATATTTTATCTGTACAGTGTGTAAAAGAAAACACATCAAAGAGGCCTACATGAGAAAGCTGAGACAGGGATTTGTGTGGTCTATCGGTCATCTCCTAACTACATAACTGTGACATCACAGTGTTATTTAGGGAACTATAATTCCACAGATTAAAACAGATATGCAACATATCCAGGCTAATGCAGGAATTAACAGATCAGTAGTAACCTCTCTGAAGAATCAACTCAACAAAAAGATAGCACATCATAAATCCGTAATACAGATCGAAGACATCTTTACGCAAGTTGGATACAATGTGAGGAGCTGAAGGATTTTGACATCAACCAGTCTATCTATAAATGTTATTTTAGCATCTTATAGGATTCAGTTCAACCCCAGATTCCTCCGAAAAAGTCAAACAGATACAGCTAATTCAACTTGCAAAACACATCCCTGTCACTAACAAAGTTAACTCCCCTTGTACAACATAGACAGAGTTATCTCCCCTCTGACAGAGCTAAAAAACACAGTTAATCTTCTTGTTAAAGTGATGCTAACACTGTTGCTTCCATTATAAAACTCACATGTAACATTTCCCCTGTGAGTTGAGTTATTTCCTTTTGTTAAACTCATACTAACACAGTTAACTCCCCTTGTAAGTATCATACTAACACAGTTAACTCCCCTTGTAAGTATCATACTAACACAGTTAACTACCCTTGTAAATCTCATACTAACACAGTTAACTCCCCTTGTAAATCTCATACTAACACAGTTAACTCCCCTTGTAAATCTCATACTAACACAGTAAACTCCCGTTGTATATCTTATACTTACACAGTTAACTCCCCTTGTAAATCTCATACTAACACAGTAAACTTCTTGTGTATAGCTTATACTAACACGGTTAACTCCCGTTGTATATCTTATACTAACACAGTTAACTCCCCTTGTAAATCTCATACTAACACAGTTAACTCCCCTTGTAAATCTTATACTAACACAGTTAACTCCCGTTGTAAATCTCATACTTACAGTTAACTCCCCTTGTTAATCGCATACTTACAGTTAACTCCCCTTGTAAATCTTATACTAACACAGTAACTCCCCTTGTAAATCTCATACTAACACAGTTAACTCCCCTTGTAAATCTCATACTAACACAGTTAACTCCCCTTGTAAATGTTGGGATGACTTCATACATTTACATGTGTAGGTATTTATCACTTAAACCACAATAAATAAATTTGGGATATCCATTTCTTTGCCAGAACGTTAAATAGGCTTCAAGGAAATCTGTTATGTTGTATAAATTATTTTTTTAAATATTATTTCACAATAACAGTCATTCAAGCCTTGACAAAAATTATACACTTTTTCAAAGAAAAGACATCAGCTTCAACTGAACCTGATATTATATAGGAATTTCTGCAACCAGAGATGTTCAACACCTTCATAATTAAATCTATCTATCATTGCAAACGCAGATCTTCAACTTTTATATATGTCTATCTTAAGATTTTCATGAAAACTACCCTGTCACTGAGTACAATTTTCGGATTAACATCACTGGCAAGCATATCATTATTAGCTTATCCTGAGAAATTTGTATGATCTGAAATAATGCTTTGACTTGTTATGATCAATTACACAGTAAAAGAGAAAACAGCTGCAGCAATACAGGTCCCCTACCATACGGGTCCGACGGGTGGGAGGAATTAAATAGATAAATAAAATAAAAACTCTGTATTCACTTCCCTAAGTAATTCACACAGTTAGGGCCTGACACACACATACAATACACCTGGATAAAATATGTGTTCATAATATCCAACATAAATCTCTATGTAGGTATATAATTTTGGATTTTTATATATATATTGATGTAAGACGAAATTAGGTGTTATCGTGTTTCTAAATTATGACTGCCCATCAGGGTTTCAGGATTAAAAGTGTTTCTATTATCCACAATATCATACAAATTGTCCATTTTGAGGTAAAAAGATACATTCTATTTTTTTCTGATTTTGCTTCAATAACATTATCAGCTTTTTTATATTTGTGTAACAATAATTTGTTTTCAAGGAGGCATTTTAAAAGTATTTTTTTAATAACAAAACACAGAATTTTAAATACAAATGAACAGGTACAATTTAAAAAGAAATTCAATTTCTCTACTACATATGTGATGTCAACAATAAAATGATCTTAAATTGACTAAACAACAATTGTGTTACTATGATGCACTTTAAATTTATAACTAGCTAATCTAATGAGAAATGCATTAAAACTAAGATAGTATCAATTTACAATTGTGATAAGAAGTTAAAATTTGAACAAACATTTAATTCATAATGACAAAATCATGCACCACACCTTAATTAAGTAATTAGTATTGAGGTAATTAACAGGTGACAAATATTACGATCAGTCATACAACAAAAAGGTCAATGTTTGTTATATCTCAGTTAACAAACTACAGTATTCTATCAATCAGTGTACAACATAACAACTGATAGAATCTATCTCCAATTACCAGACTTGATCATTAATTTATCCTTTGAACTCAACGTATTAAATTTCAAAATTTTATAGAAATTTGATACCTATTTTTATGAATTTGAAAAGTACATATTTCAGTTCAGAAAAAGGTCTGATTAGCTGATATATCAATCATATGAGTTTGTTTATTTCGTTTGAATTAAATTTGATCA